TTTTAACTTCCCGATTCCAGTAAGTGTATGTTCTTCTATAATCTTCTGGATTTTATATTTGTAGCCAGATTCAATGGGTTATCTATTTGGTATCTACCAACCCTCATTATTTGGCAATATAGCTCTTCCACCGTCTTTTTTTTTATATATTTTATAGCTTTGTAGCAAATCTGAGTTTGTACAGAGATTGAGTGGGTTCATTCTTTAGACTTCCCAAATTATATTTCTTTACACTCATATCTACGGGCATTGTTAGTTCATATTGATGGTCGCTGTTATTTTCCTGGCATTTAACTAACACCTTTGCAATGGCTAAGTGATCCGATCCACATTCCGCTCTTTGATACACCCTTATGTCCAAAACTTTTAGATTTAATTGTTGACGCATGATGACATAATAATTGACCTTAGCCCTCTTGTTGCCTGTGTCAATTATCAGTCTTAGATAAATTACAAAAACTAAAGAGGATAGCAAAACCTAACTTTACCAGTAAAAGAAATCATCCGCAAAGAAGCTGCCAGGCCAGATAACATAACGAATAGAACCGTAAAAAACTTACCAAGGAAGGCAATAATGTATCTTACTTTATTTATTACCAGAAAGCTAATCCTTAGACGCTTACCATCCCACTGGAAAGAAGCCCATGTGATTAGAATACCAAAACCTGCAAAAACAGTACCTTCTTACAAAACTACAGACCTACAAGCTTATTGTCAGTCAGAAGAAAAACTGTTTCTGCGAAATCTTTCTCTTAAATTCATTTAATTTAAAAACATGCTTCAGGAATTCTTGAAAGAGAGTCAGCTACTACACTACAGTGCATTTCTGACAAGGCAGTTTCCTAAGGTACTGCAGAGAACAGTGTGACAAGCTGAATGAGGACATCTTTAAAGAAACAATTTTGGCTTGCAAGAACAGAAGCTGTTGTAAGAGCCTGTTTGATATTATGAAAAGCTTTATCAACTTAAAAAGTTTAAGTGATAGGTTGACCTCTCTTTCTTTTTTCAGTATGTCAGAAATAGCACTACAAATTAGAACAAAATTATGCAAAACTAAAAGTGGAAATCGAACAAGTATCGTAAGTAATTGAGGATGTACGATAAAATTTAGATGAGGGGATACGAAAAGTTCAGATACCAAGATATTGTATTACAGATAACCGTAGATTCCTAACAACTCAATTTTTAGTTTTTTTTCTTTTAGCATTGGATTCTCAAAACTTAATAAAAATTATAAAACACAAATTATCAACACTCCCGAAAATATACTGGGTAAATATACTTAAGCTAAATATACTTAAGACAAAAATACAACAAACTATGAAAGGCAAGCATCCAACGCTACTTCATAAGCAAAGCGGTTTTACTGCAATCAAGTTAGAATTGCCTCAGAAGCATTTTCAAATTAAGTAACGACGACAGAAACCTCACCACACGTCTGAGTGATAATGTGGTGTGAGGAATGGTGGAGTACTTGGAGGTTGGGAGGTGTTACGAAGTAGTTCTTGAAAGATATTAGGAAATTACTCCTGGATCCCGGTCTGTTGAGTCGGATCTCTTTAACTAATATGGGTTCGCAACAACTCTTGAAGGGGTTGTGAGTCCATATATCTCTACGAAACTGGGATTGCTTATTTTGTGTTTGTTTCTAGTTTAATTTAATTGACTCGACAGTTCTACCTGAATTTGCCAGTCAGTTCAACTAAAATGAATGTATTCAAACATGTAAATTACTAAGTTACTTGATCATTTTAGTAAACTACTGGACTTGTATAAACCGAGATTTTATCGCTAATCTTAGTCCATGTTTTCTAAGTTTAAACTTATCATTAAGATAACAAAGATGACGCCATGATAAACAATATTTGTTACGAACAAACTGTTGTTGAAGTTGGGATCATTTAACATACGACATAAAAATAAAAGTGCTACAGGGATGTAATTCCTTTTACCACCGCGCATCTGTTTAAACATACTACTTCTTGATTTTTAGATAATCTGTTAGTGTTTGTCCCGATATTTTGCTTCATTAATATTCTTTATTGCCTCTTTTCTAAAATTTCGTCAAAAATCTTTCATATACAAGGTTTGTTAAGAACTAGAGTTTACTTCAAATGTCGCAAAGTATGCACATTTAATTTTCGATTTGTTTGTTATGTTAGTACATACGTCTCCAACACCGGTACATATAACATTAGTAGCCATCTTGATTTTTTTAGTTTATTTTTGACAGATATGAAGTTTAGATCTGTTTTTGTGTGTCTTGGTGATTTTATATCGAAAAAAATGGATCAAAATTAATTATGTTGGCTGTGGCATTTGGTGAGTCTACATTGAGCAATAATAATAAAAAGTGAAGAAAATGATTATCGAGAATAGTCAAGTCAATATTAAAAAGTTGCTGAGGACGTCGGCATATTGGTTGGCTCTTGCCATGCGATGTTGAATGTTTTGGGAATGAAACTTCTGGCAGCGAATTTGTTCTAAAATTGCTAAATTTTTGCCAAAAGAACTGTCGCATGAACATCGCTAATGAGCTGTTAAAGTCAACGACGATCCAGATTTGCTCAAAAGAATCATAACTGCTTACAAAGCATTGTATATGATTATGATCTCGAAGTCAAGGCCCAATCATCTCTACGGAATCTGTCAGAAGAGTCAAGACCTAAACATCACACACACACACCAATTCCGTCAAAAGTGAAGGTTTTGCTGACTATTTTATTAGAGTATAATGGCGTTGTACATTATGAGTCCTTTCCACAGGATCTTACGGTCAATAAGGAATACTATCTTGAAGTCACACACCGTTTGCGTAAATACGAAAAAACGGCCGGAATTGGAGAACAAGTCATGAATAGGAGTAATGCGTCATTGTTTGTTTACCTGTTCCCAAAATTGAAGAAATCAATGACAGAACGGGAATTTGTCGAGATTGAGGAGATAAAGACCACATCGCTAGAAGAGGTCAATGTCATGCCAAAAAGTGCATATGATAAGTGTTTTGAGGATTGGAAAGAATGCTTTCAATAAGTTCGTTATACCTGGGGAGGATTACTTTGAAGACAACGACATAAATATAGATAAATAAGTAATTTTTTTCGAGCAAACCAAAATCACCTTTTGAAAAGTTTGAATAGAACTAGAACTAGAATTTGATAAATAAATCTATTTGTTAAATGAAAAAAACCAATTGTTTTATTATAACACCAAAATTTTTTTGTCTTGACCTCGAATACTTAAAATAAAGGTGTTCACTGAAAAACTGTAAAGAATAGAGGAGAAAAAATTTTGGGATAGAAGGTTAAAATGTGTTACTTGAAAAAACATATACTTCAGGTACATCTTTCAATAAACAAATGTATAGAAAATTAATTACAGATAGATTACAAAATAATATAAACAAAATAGTACTCACATAATATGTTAGTCATTCTAGACCTAAAATTTTCAGTCATACCAACACTACAGTGTATGTTGTTAGTACTAATTTGTGACATATATACGGTTTTAATGAGCAAATAGATTGAGGTTAATGTATTGAATGTTCAAGCTAGGAAACAGCTTGTAGACGTTTCTGAAAAATGATTTTCAAAGGTTCAAGTGAAATTTACATTGTTGTTAGATCGTTAGATGTTTTACCGAAAAATTATCCAGCTTACTCCGATTTTCTACTGGAAAGAATATTTTCTGAGTCCTCGCAGATACTCTTTCTATATATTTAACCAAGTAGGCATTTTCCCTTGTCTGATTCAAAAGTTGAAGTATTAATCAATAATTTTTAAATTGGGATTCTTAACCGCAATTCAGGAAACGACACGGAAATTGCTACTCATTGACCGAACAATGCACGTGCTATTACCCATGTGAATGAGCGAGACAAAATCACAAAGAATAGTAGGAAATAGTAAAGGAAAAACGAAATAGAAACAAAAATGTGAGAGATATGGGAATCAATGTAATATCTAAGAACAGACTACATGGAAAAATATTAAAAGATAAGTTATAAAGTAGCCATTAACTAAGGAACAAAACTCACATCCGATTTGAGATGAGAAAAGCATTCATGCAAGGCTGCTCTCCACCTTCCACTTCGGTCACAAAATTCTGCAGAAAGTCTGAAACCTGTAAAACAAGTGCGAGGGAATGGAAAAATCTTCTTAACCTTCACCTTAAGGAGCGGTTTTTGGCAGATTGCTTTGCACGAGGGTCCAATTATAATGCAATGAACTTGTTGATTGAAGTATTTTCAAAGCTATTTAAATTCACTACCACTTTTTTTTAGAATAATCTATATGATTATGAATCTGTATGGTGTTATACTCGACCTGTCCACACGTTGCTGTACTAACGCCTTAGCAGCTTTTAATACATAAACAATATAATGCGCTCTTTTCAAAAGTCAAAATGAAGATCTGACAGCCATGTAAAAGTCATTAGAAAATCGTTAAAATACTAAAAAACTGATACCATTTCCTAAATAATCTGAACCTTCTATACATTATTCCCACTCCGTGTAAATACGTATTTACTGTTGAAGATACGAAAATATCGATGGTCAATGTTTGTATACTGTTAAAATAAAAAGTATCTCTTTGTGACAGAGCCATGTTTAGAGTGCCAAAACAGAATTTTTTAAACACATATGGCGTTATTCACATATATTTATTTTAATTCTTTGTTCCTCCTTCTGATAGAGGTTTGACAATCGTTATCTGATATTCTTCTCAAAGTTACATGACGGCATCAGAAAATTTCGAAGTGAATTATTATTGAATATATTTTCCACTTGAATACAATTTTTCCAATGAAAGTTGACGCTTGAGGGATAGCGTATGATAGTTGGTTTATGACGTTTGGCAAGACAAATTGACAGATAGCATCTGTCACAGCTGCTCACATTTTTCGCACGGTCTTCAAAATTTTCCCAGACTCCACCGACCCAAACTATGCAAAATATCATATTAAAATATATATAAATAGTCGCAAAACGAATAGAAATATGAACCAGTTTTTTTTTTAACTTTTGTGTGAATTTCTTTCAGATATTCGAAGTAATTTATCATGCAGCCTATTTCTTTTAATTTCTGGAAACTTTTTTGTTTTTGTCTTGATTTTATGCACATTTAGAAGGCTCCTGGACGTACCTATACTTTTTCAAGACAAGTAATGTCTTTTTTTATACAATTTTTTTATATGCGCTTTTCTGTGAAACGTATCTACCGCATAAAACGAGACCTTACTGTATTTTTATATATTTTCCAATAATTGTTTCAGATTATACAAACAGTTCGACCGCCGATATTTTCGCACTTATTATTTTAGAATTATCTTTTTTTTAATAAATTTTAAATAAAGCAATTGAACACAGGAATTTTGTACTTAAAATAAATATTTTTTATTTCTGTCCACTTCGCATATTCAACAATTTTTTTGTGTATAACGCAATTCTATTAGCACCACTACGTTACATGATAAAACATGTGTTTTATAGCGAATTATTAAATTATTACAAATATTAGTCAGAGAAAATAGCTTAGAGAAGTGATAACCTGGCCAAAAGTTGATCAGAAACGATCAACTTTGCTCAATCTGACTTAGTACCTGACTTAGTAACTCTGATGTTATAAACCACATCCTAACACTGACTTTTTCAACACTTTTTCGGCATATGACATGTCGTTAATTTATTACCGACAGGTCAAGCCTCGAAAAGTGTCAAAAAGCTGAAAAGGGGCGCGGGGCATCACTTGTGACATCAGTGGGCGTGGCTGATGACATCGGTGGGCGTGATTTGTGTGGGTGACGTGTGATCCCCACAACCCACCTTACATACTCATAGCTCATAGCAAAACGAAGAAGTTCCAGAAAGACTCACAAACTTTGTTAAAGTGCATTGCTAAGTGCCATCTTTGTTGAATCATTTTTCTATAAAAAATATCAATATCACAACAAATAAAACAACGTTTACTTTGTAAAGTAGCGGTAATCTATATAACAAAAACAATAAATGAAACCTTTTATATTGGGCTAGTCTGTTTTTAATTGAAAGTACGCACATAATTACCTAAAATAAAAAGTACATGCTAAGATAAAAATTAAATTTAGTTGGGCCCTATAAACAAAATTTGTACATTTGAGAATAACATGAATAATATATGTTGAAAACAGAAAATATTACCTAAAATTTACCTTTATGCCGATACATTCAAATTAGTTAATATGGAGAATTCTATTTTCTCCCTATATATTATTTCAGAGACTCCTCCAAAGCTCTCTGGATGTGTAAACTTCCAGTTTAAAAATTTTCCCCCGTCCATCTTTTAACGCAGAGTACGGATCATTGATCACTTTTTCTGTATCTGTGGAGGTTTTGGTTCCATCAACTTCTGTAATGAACAGACAGTCCAGCCCGCACAAAAGTAGGAGCGATTTATAGAAAACAAATTTTTTTCTATTTGTTGCTCCTATCAACTAGTTCATGCAGATGTATTTATTGGTAAAGATAATTTATCGTAATAAATCTGATCTGAAGCAAAAGTTATCTCTTTTCGTCTTCGGGTAGTCATACCATCAGAGATAAGCACTGTGTTCGGTTCACAATGTACCTCATAAAATTTCTTATAAAACAAAATATTGGTAATATTTTGGCGACATACCGATTGTACAATCAACAAACCGTTACCAAGACACAATTATACATATATGATACTTTGCCGTCAAAACTATACTCATGGAGTACGATTTATGGAATATCATGAAGTACTCATTTAAAAGATTAGATTGAGACTCTAATGCTAAGGGTATTAACACGAATGGACCGAAAATAGATCATCTCCGATATGTCAATGACATTGTTCCCATAACAGAAGACAGCAGAAACCAGAGTTATGTTGCAACTTCAGCAACACAGAAAATCGGTTTATAGATAAACTATGCGAAAACAAAAATGATGACAAATGTCAATAGAAATCAAGAAATCCCCATAGAAGTTGTGGAAAGATATATGTATTTGAGCCACAGAATAAGATTAACATGACACAGCCAGACATGTCCCAAAAACACCTGCGGAAAAATTGGCGAACTGGAGTGGAAGACATTATCGAACATATTAGACAAAAATGAAGATGGGCAGAACATGTTGTAAGAAATTCCGTATGTCTCATTGTATTGTTTTATAATTTACTTGTATATTTCCAGAGATTCGGTTACATCTTTTATCCACTCTAAGTTGACATATCTATTATTTTTAATATAATTTACAGAAAATAGTAAGATTTTGTTACTATTCAACCATAGAAAGAAAAAATACCAGTCCTAAATCAATATTTTCAAAATTAAATTCTTGATACTAATGTTTATATACAAATATACATTCCAGACATGAATTCCCTTTAAAGATAAAACTACTATGGTTGTAAAATGAATATTTTTTAATAGTTTTCAATCATTTTGTGAATGCATGCATGCATATCTGGTTTCAACATATATACATCACATTAAAATTAATTTAATCACCATATTTTACTACCACATAATCGGTAGCACAAAGAAACATAAAACAACAAAAACCTATACCAATATATATAAAAATTTTTTGTAAAAAGTAGCCAATTCAAAATGAAGTCAGTACATACAAGCAATTCAGTGCTGATTTGGCTATAGGATCATTTTTCGCTTAATACTTTCTAGAAACTGTAAAGGAATTTCTGGAAAGTATAGATAAAAATTAATAGCAAACATAGCATCAATATAATAAATTTTTGGCATACGATTTACGATCAGCCTCAAAAAATTATCAGACAATCGCTCATCAAATCAAAAGTCTTACGAGGATTATGTCTTGGGTTTGATCATAGGAGTTGAAACAGTTTATACTAACATTTAAACATCTATTGTCACGCATTGATGTAAATTTGATAGATTGTAATAAAGTATAACTTTAGAATGATTGTTGCAGTTGTGATAACGCATGATACTCACTTGGAAGTAGTATTTGCTTTGGGCAGCTTTGTGGACACAGTGGACCGGCCTGTCCGAATCCGATCAGTGTAAAGTTAGGTACACGACGTGTAACTTGACATTTTACGTGAAACGTGACGTTTTAATATAATACGTAACGTTTTGAAATAAAACGTAATGTAGACGGAAATTTTACGCGTGGGACAGACATTTTATTTTATGGTGACTTTCACCGTTCATAAGACATCTGACGTTAAACGTCAAAAAAACTATGCCAAAATATGCCTACAGTGGAATTCCAAAAATTGATTTATTGTTGTGGGAATTAATCACAATGTTGACATGCCACATGAAAATAGCTTCAGAACAATATTTCATATAATGAGTAAAATATATTGTACGAAATGATAATTATTCAAGTACAAACAAAGTAAAAACTGACAGTTTATTTCGAATTTTAAAATAACTTTAAAATAAATCATAAAATTAGCAAAATCTGCTTTTCTAATGCATTAATGAGAGTGAATATTATTGAACTGTAGTTTCGATCTAACAGTGACTATTTGAGAGTTTAAACGATAATCTAATTATCTCATTTCCATTCAAGAAATATTTAACTCTTAATTCTATTTAAAATCATTTTTATCATTAAAATTCTTCATATAGACAAGTAAGTAAATGGTTAAGATGCCAGAAGTCTACTTTTGGACTTAAATACATCTCTGACAACCCTGCATCTAGTGTACAATTCAGTTTAGTTAGTTTCCACAAGTTTAGTGAGTTTCCACAAGTTTTTATTGATTTTTTTTGAAATATTTAGTTATGTCCTCAGATATTGTACTGAACATCTTGGACATATACTAAATCAAAGACAGTATGATCGAAGCTGTTGAACTGAGGAAACCCTAGTAAAGGCTGCAGATCAAATCAAAAACCGGTCAAACTATATCATAGAAAACAGGATGATTATTTGTTATACCATATTGTACCATACACCGCAGAGTAATCTTGGCCCAAGTGGATGCTTGGGAATTCACGAAAAATTTCTTGTAAATTATATAAACGTTAGGAGAAGTTGAATACACACCGATATCGATACTAGTATGACAAATAACCTATATCTTCGCAGTCAAAAATAATATTAAGAATCGGTTTACGTATTTAACGGATCGATTTCCTAATGTATCAGCACCCACATTTTAAAATTTGAAAAACAGTGAATGTAAATAGGCATGAATAGAGAAGTATGCTCATATTTTGGAGGAAAACTGTATCCAACTGGACACCAATTTTGTTAATTGTTAATAGTGCCTGCGTTTCAGCAGCAACCATTTCAAATTGGAGTATTCAGATTCTAATACAGATCCAAGATGTATATTACTTAGTTATCGCATAACAAATCATTTTGAATTAAGTTAATAGCTCATTTTAGTCGTTTTACCGGTTATTGTTTACCGGTTATAAGTTATACATATTTTTGTGTTTGTTTTTAGGATATATAGTACGGTTTTGTTAGTTTTTTCATGTTTGTGATATCGTCGGCACTACACCAATGAAAAAATATGGAAAAAGACATTGCTAGAAAGTGTTCCGTAAGCTTAGAAGCTGTATATAAGATAACTAAACAAAAAATGGAGACTGGATCAGTAGAAAGGTAGAGTTCAAGACACTATGACCTTTGACTTGATAGGCCCAAAAATAGACAACACTATATAAAAGAAATAAATATTATCGTTTGCGTAGCTCCAACAACAGCAATTAAGCTTATCGAGAATTTCATCGTTAATACATACTCTTATATAAAAAAGATAATGTTCATAACTCTTACGACTCTTATAATCAAACCCTTATTTAGCTGGCTATCAGACCAAATGATACATGAAATAATGATTGACTAGCTGGTTCGTCAACATAGAAAATCATGATTAACCGGACTCGCCACAAACCCAAAAGAATGTATTCTAATTTCGATGATTTGTCAACGCAAGTCTAACAGTCTAGTAATACTAAACGAAGGATCTAGAGCTGTGTTTCAGCTGGGCTTCAACGGGGCTTGGTGTATTATGTCCAATTCTCTTTCGCCTCTATCCCTTCGTATTACCACCTGAAAAAAGAAACGTATTTCATACAACTATGCCATACAGTTAGTGCAGCAATAGAACTCGGAACGAAAAATTCATGTTTTCAATAAAACCGTCAAAATTCTTATTTACTACATAAACATGTCTAAATAACAACTGGTTCAGTGGCAATGGTTCTCATATGAATCATACTACTATATTTACTGCTATTTACAGATCATTTAAAGGCTATTTAGGAGAAGTGAAATTCAGGAAAAGGGTTATTGTCGTGTTACTAATCTACCTCCCAACAAATCCGACCATCCTGTAAAGGCTTTTTGAATGTGTATAAATGTTTAAGACACTACAGGTAATTGGTTAAATTTTACTAGAAAGGTGATCAATGTCAGTCCATTTTTTAAATAGTTAAGAAAAGGCTTGGATACGAACATCGGATTATAGATTCCGGGCTCTACAATTTCCAACTCATCGTCAGGCTCCTTATAAGGTTATTTAACCACTAAAAAACAAATATTACAGTTGTTAGAGTTTATAAGTGATAAATTATGCTCGTATTAAGTATATTTGAATGTTGAGTGTATTGCATGTATACTTATATAACGATACAAGAAAAGTGATCCAAAGTAAGTAAACGATTTGCTTGATTATATACCAGGACAGTGTTGGTCGGAAAATACCCTTCTGCACATTGATGTAGGGGAAATTTCTTAAGATATTCTGAATATCCCAAGAAATTTCTCCTACATCGATGTGCAAAAAAATATTTTTCCTTACTTTGGACCACTTCCTTTGTATTGTAATGTAAGTACTCGAAATGTACTGCCATTACTAATAATACGAACTGAACATAATATTAACAGCAACATAATTTATAATCTATAACAAACGTAACAAATTTTGCATCTCATTTTTATTGGTTACATAACCTCATCGGGGACCTGATCATGGGCTCGAAATTGTAGAGCCCCAAATTGATCAACCAAGGTACAAAAAAAAATTGTTCATTTTTACCTATTTACCAAAGCGAATTTGTGAACATTGTCAATTTTCTTTTCTTGGCATTTACCTTCTTCCATCAAATCTTTACCTAATTCTATCAAAACTTCATGCTTTTGAGCTATTTAGTGACGAATCCCAATTATCTTTATTAATACATGATCGAGTGTATAGATGTGGTATATAAATAAGTTTGTAGTAATATATTACTATAAATTTAGTTTTTTGAGAATTCTTCTGGTATTATTCAGGTCCCTAAACTCGTTTTCCTCCCTACATCTTCTCCGTAAGAGTCCGCAATCAATAACACAAGGAACAGGGGAAAATTAGTTGTTTGAGGTTTTCCAATCTCATTGCACAATGATAGTAGGTACTACTAGCTACTGGAAGCATGTAATAAAATCGACCTAAACTTGTTTACTTAAAAATAGCAGTAAATGTTAAAATATAAAAAAATGTAAAAAACCGAAGCCACGTAAACCTAATTTGAAAATTTAGATTACACTAATTTTTAGGGTTTTATTCATACTCATCGGTAGTTTAATGACCTTCCGACATGTAGTTCTATTTATACACTAAATATTTCGGTAACACTAGATTTTTATGATACATCAATTATGAAATCATTTTTTATGATGATATATTTTGTGATAGCGATCCTGATAGTGTCATGAAAGTATAACATTTATTAAATTATTTGCACCATAACTGTTTCAATGTGTATGCTCTCAATTATGACATTCTTGCTATTTATTTAAACCGTTATATTAACAACATAATACGTTTATTTATATGAATCAATTAAATACATGTATAATTCTTGAAAACAAATCCTAGACCTAAACATATTAAAAGAATTGTATGGTTTGAAAAACTTCCATGAGTACTACCACTAAAACCTTCATAAGTTAAGGCAGCACAGCCATTACCATTACCTTAAGCCCCATGAAATGATTGAACTTTCTCAAACAAAGAACCGTAAAATCCAAGCAATAGTGATGTATGATTTTTTTATAGACATATTCTCATGTTAGTCATTGTGTTGCCTGCATTTTGAATTGAATACAGTTTAAATAAATTAAAATTTTGAAAAATAAAAATTGTGAGTTTTCCAGCATTTTTCAATTTATTAAGGAAATGAAAATTACTCAATATTTCAGTTGTTATTATTACGTCGAGTTACGAGTTATTAAGAAAATAATGAAGGTTCTATGTTTTCTAGAACCAGAAATATTGCAAATTTTTCAGCGCTCTCCAATTTACAGTTCCAATCTCAAAATCTGACTGACTCAAAGCTTCTTCTACCACTTTTCTCCCTCAACAGAGGGATAATAATTGCATACTTATCAATTGCATCATAAAATATAGGTATTGACAATTTACGAAAATTTCAAGCCCGAATATTTATAAGCAACAGAGATATGATTTTAAAAAATACTAACTTCGCTTCTATTAGTCATAGAAGGTTTTTTTTTTGTTAAATGTGTGTTTTCCCACCATTTTTTCGTTTCACCTAATTAGAAAGATGTTCGATACAAACTTACAAAGTTATGTTATTTGTTTTTTAAAAAGCATCACCTTTTTTCAACGACTTATTTAAAGACATTTCTTGCAAAAATAATTTGGATTTTTACTTTTTCTTGTAGTTTTAATATTCAAGAATCCATTGGTCTTTCGTTAGATAACTGTAGAAGCATACCGTAGGCAACAATTACTGTTTAAACTGTTGATATCTTAGACAAACAGTTAAAAATAACCATAAGGTAACTTTTACTTTCCAAATTGGAAAAAAAGACAATTTTTAAAAATTAAACAAAAAAACTCTACTCACCGGTACGAAAAACGGAGCACTTGCATTTTTAAAATAAAAACTTAACTTTTAATTCTCTTTAAACTTTTATTATTATAATAACGTAGACATAAACGAAACAAACTGTTTTAAGTAAAAAAATGCATGTAGTAGCTGTTAGTATTCTGTTGTTATTCTTTTGTTTTTGTTGATGTTAGTAGACTGTTAAGTCGAATCAAGTATTACACAGTTTGAATTGCGTTGATTTATTCTCAAGAATTATGGTCGTAAATGCCGAAACAGCGGCTGCTATTGTTGCGTTGTTTAAAGCCGGAGGAAGTGAGCGATATGTCGCTCAAAAGTATCAAGTGCATGGTATTTTTACACCTTGGCAACCGGAACTTAAACACTAGACGACCTGGAACCGGTCCCCAATGAAGAATTAGTGCCCGTAATGATCGCTTCATCTTCTTACAAATTGCTATTAAATTATATCAATGCTATTAAAGAAGCAAATTTAACCAGGCGCAGACCCGCAACAAGCCTACAACTTCTCAGGCGACATCGAGCTGCGCAGCTTCAGTTTGCCAGAAACCATGCTCATTTTAATGTAAATAATTGGAGGCAAGTCTTATTTACCGATTAGCCTAGGTTCACCTTGCGGTCTCCAGATGGCCGTGAGAGAGTATGGCGAAGACCACATGACGTTTTGCAGAATGTACCTTCACTCTTAGGGTAGGCTATCAAAGGGGCTTAAGTATGATGTGATCTGGAATTTATCTAAAGGTACGCACAGAATTGTACATCGTTACGAGAGGCTCCATAACAGCTGCCAGGTACATTGATGAAATTATCCAAAATTTTGTAGTGCCTGGCTTATGCTGGTTTTGTTGGAAATGACTTTGGAAATTACTCATCAGTTTTTAAATGAAGTAAACATTCCTGCCAGCATTGAGTCGAGACGCAAACCCAATCAAACATGTATGGGACATGCTTGGGCGAAAGATACGAAGTCGTTTTCCTGCCTTTTTAACCTTAAATCAGTTACAAAAAGCCCTTTTAGAGTAATGGGAACTTATTCCTCAACAAGACATTTCTCATTTGATTTTAGGCATGCCAAGGAGAATTCGCAGGGAAAATCAGATCCACGAACTGAAGAGAAGAATCGGTCTTGGTTGGAAATATGGAAAATCATGTGGAAAACTGAGAGAAACTTTTAAAAGTGAGCTGGCCACATGCCTGAAGAGAAACGTATTTAAACAAAGTAGTCCTTCCAGTAATGACATACGGAGTACATACATCAGATCGCACATACCAAGGATGTATCACGCGTTCACACTCGCGACTTATTATCACAGTATACAGCGATGTCGATGCCACAACAAAATAGTTTGTTTTACATCGCGGTCGAGCAGTTGATCGCGTGGTAAATTACAAGTTTATTGGTGGTTTTCAAACCACCTGACATTCGCCGGAGTTACATATGATATGATAAATATACTGAAATGTGTTTCTTAAGCTCTTCTACATTTCACTTGAAGACATGTCGTCACTACTGTTGCTCATGTACATAATTTTATAATGTAAAAAAGCTAACTTTCTCGGAACACATGTCAGTCTTCTCAGAAACCACAAAGAACACTGAAAGGAAGGTATCTTCGGTATGTTCTGCCTGTCATCGATGTAAACCTCGACCGCGACCTCCACCACGCACATCCATGTATCTTCGGTATGTCCGTACCCTAAGAGTCACACAGAGAAGAATTATGTTAGGAATAACTCTGCGAGAAAAAATAAAAATCCAACAGGTGTCAGGAGAAGAACCAAGGTGACTGACGTCCTCGAAAGGATAGCCAGACTAAAATGGAGATGGGCAAGACACATAGCTAGAATAACGGATGGGCGATGGACAAAGAGGATATTGGAATGAGACCAAGTGGAGATAAGAGAAGCATCTGTCGACCAACTACACGATAGGTTGACGATTTAAGAAGACAAAATAAAAACTGAATGAGAGTGGGGCAAAAAAGGCGAGGTTAAAAACACGAGAAAGGGGCCTATGTGCAGAATTGGACTTTTGAGGTTGGATGATGAAGGTATGTTTGTACGTAAAAATCAAAACTCGATTTTTTGAAAATTTAGAAAGTAAGTCCCCTTAAATACCAAACCGATCTGTTTAAAACTTTACACACTTATATAGACATTAAATGGCCTTATTATAAAGGTGTTATAATGAGACTTACCGTCTTTATTATACAAATTATTAAAATTTATTAAATGGTAAAAAATACCACCCATATATATGATCAAAATATATACACCACAATGACAACAACCGAGAACAAAAAAATGTATATGTACATGAAATATGTATATCAACTAAGGCATTCCCTCAAGCATTGTTTTTACTCAAGCAAGACAGAGTATTATGAGCGAGGAGTGAGAGGAAATACCTGTTGTTGTGTTGAAATTGGCGGTCCCCCCGCCCTATCGTACATAAGATAAGGCTGAGGTCGCAGCGCAGACGCAGAACGCCCGTCTGCATTCTGTCTCTGCAAACCACTATTGGGATACGGTCCAGCTGGTGAATGTCTAAAATACACGTCAGCTCGTATTACATTTTGGTAAAGCGGTTCTTAACAATTTTATAAGTTGGTACAGTAACTATATACATACATTTTTATTGTAATTCATAATTATTCAGGTTTTAGTAGGTAAACAAAACCACATTCAGTTTGAATTAATCACAAATTGAGGGTCAATTATTGTCTTATCGTTATCTAGTAATAAATTTAATAAAAATCTACCTAATCCAACCCAACCAACTGATGACTTTAAAATATAAGCTTTTTAAAAGAATTTAAGTTGTGAAAGTTAGGTTGGTTTAAGTAACACAAAACATTATTTTGGCACGTCTATTTCACGTTTAATGTGGTTTTACTTTCTTTTAATTATTTTTAAATATTTTGTTCTTCCAGTAATTAAATTAGAACATATAAGAACTTGTGGTACCTTATTTGCAACGATATAAACAAAATGAAACTAACTTTGGTGTTTTTCTTGTTTAGTACCTTTCTTTTTCATTTGTCTAGGCAGTTCCGTTTAAAATAGATGTACATCATTCATCCATTGTAGAATCTTATTTATCGGAGGTTTTCTCTTTCACAAAGGTACCAAAGTGTCAAGGTAAACAAAGCTCTTAGTTTGAGAGTGAACCGGCTGGTCGTTTATTAGCAAAAAATGATGAATGAAGTGGAACGAATACGCACACAGAACGACAGATGAAAGAATAGTAACAGAAAATCAGGCAGACTATAACTATACTAGAAAAATTTTCAATTGGAGGTGACTCAGCTACAAATTGAACTGAGAGCTAACGACAAAAATGTTAAATGTCAGAAGTAAATTCTTACCGAGATTTCCGGGGTCATTTTTATTGTGTATGCTTCGCGAATGTGGATAAACGGAAAGTAAGACGGTTCCATAAAACTTGGCGCATAACAATATACCTTCTACATACGGGTGCGAGTCACGAGCGAATAGTTGAACAAGTCCGTTGAATATTTTGAAACATCGGTACACTTATCAACACTTCGCTGGTCTATATATTTATGTCCTTGGAAAAAAAATGAGAATAAAGTCCTAGGAATGGGAGAAATAGTTTATTAGTTCGGTTTCATCATCAAACGTCCATATCTGCATGTTTCTTGTTAATGTGACTTTGTTTTATATTTATTAAATAGACTTTCAGAATAAAACAATGGTTTTTTTTCAGAATAAAACATTAGGACAAAGGTAATGGAGAATGATGGAGATGAGCCGTTAAGGATAATAATAATAGAAGATTTAGTCTCATGGCGACGATCTTCGTTAGAGAAGTTCATTCTGCCCACAAAAAGGTTTATTATCTGGATGTTGTCGATAGTGAAATAGGTGAGAGTAGTGATTATCACGAAGACATGCACGCCCAACGCTTTGAAACATAGTTTAGATCCCTTCTTTAACGAGTCGAGCCAAATTCGGTAGTAAATATGGATAACGCCTCTTATCACAGCCGATTAGTAGAACACCTGCCAACAATGGCCACCAGAAAAGCAGACATGCAGAGTTGGTTAAGACAAAAAGGAAGTCCATCTTCCGAGAACATGGTTAAGGCTGAGTTTATAAGTGCTAAAAGTATCACCATTTTCAGACTTACTCATTACCATTGCAAGTTAAACCGGATAGAATTAATCTGGGGTCAAGTAAAGGGTTACGTAGCTCGTGAAAACGTGACATATAAAATTTTTGATGACGTTTGTTAGAACTCGCAATGGAACGGGTACGAAAAGAAGATTGGGCTAACGCCGTGGCCTATATGATCAAGAAAGAAGAGAAAATGTGGAGATCGGACGGGATGATAGACACTGTTTTCGACAAAATAATAATAGACTTAAGTGTGACTGAGGATTCCCCTTCGGACGAGTCGCTGGATTTCGAAACTTCATAAGCATAACTTATGGAATATAATTCTCGTATATAAATGGAATATAATAATTATTTTGCAAAGTTTTCTATTTTTAAAAGTTCTGTATACGGTACTCTCTAATGAGAATAAAATTTTACTTTATTTTGTTAGACAAATATAAGATATCTGTCAAAACACACATGATAATTTAATAATTATATAGTTCTTAGATTTTTATATTACGTAATTACATATGTGTTTAAATAAATAATTAAAATATTATTTTGGTACGCCTCTGCAAAGTTGATAAGGCGAATATCGGTTGGTCGCTTTAAGTGCGATGTTGCCAATGAATCACCTTCAATTGTAAATTGTTATAGTATATGTGCCAAATGAAATAAGAGGTGAATTATGATTAAGGTTGGTTTCATTTAATTTATTCAATTTAATTCTGAATATAAGTTTGTGCACCTTTCTTGGTTTAAAATATACTACACTTACTGAAAGAAGAAAATATTGTAAACTAATTCGAAGGACCACTTCTTAATTAGAAACAAACAATTAGAACATTAATCTGTTATATCAAATAACGATAGTACAGTAAAAAGCCGGCGAACGTTTATTTTAATATTATATTATTATATAAAGAAATTAACTATAAATAGTACTTCAATATATTTAAGCACTGTAAGAAACGCTTTAAGTAAAATAAAATACATATTAATATCAGTTTTAAAGCCAGCAGAATATTTGAAAAATTAGAAGAATGAAGACCACTCAGTTAGAAGATTTATTCGCTCAACCATTATGTATCATATTATATTATATGTTTTAGAATACATATCGCCCATTTATTAAGTTGATTGTACTATAAAATAGGAAAAAGCATTGTAGGCCGACAATCATATACACTATTGTTGTATTTTTGGATAAAACAGTAAGTTTTCGATTCGGTTTAGCCTAGGGCATAATAAAAAAAGCTAATAACTTTACCTTACTTTTTTTGCCTTACTTTTGCCCTTCTTTTTGTTGTAGTTGCCCCATTCTAACCCCATTTTACTTATCCACGACCCCAGCTCTCCTACGAAACCCTGAGTGTCCGTTCGCACAAGTAGCGATTATTTTGCTTGCCTTATCTCAACCCCTTTAGTTTCTTCCGCCAATTTTCTATCCCCTTGTATTAATGGCCCCTGTGGTAGGCAAAATATTTTCGTTACAAAAATGGCTCCCAACGTGCGAGGCTTTTGAATATTCCTTAATTTTTAGATTTTTGACCTTTTTCCCAAGCCACATATCTTTTTCAATTTTTCTGCCATAGTTTTCTGCCATTTTTATGAAACCCTGCCTTTCGAGTAGTGCCCCCGTGTCCCACAAACAGTTTGTTCATGTATTTGTATCAACAAATGTATTGTTGTTTTTTTCTATGTATTGTACCTGTATTAACATATGTATTACTGTATATCAACAGATGTATTTGTTGTATATTGACATATGTATTGTTGTTTCTTTTATTTCGTGTACTGTAGAAATTTTTCTATATGTATTTTTGTGTATTGGTAAATGAAAGCAAATATTTTGAGTTTGAATATTTAAATTGAATTTTAAATAATTATTGATGTTGAAAAGAATTTTAAGTTATTTACAGTAACAAATTAAGTGTACCGTTATTGTGCCATTTATTTTTGATTGATTTGACATTTCTTACAGAAAAATCGGTTTTGTAATTTTGTTTTGTCCGGTCATTCTGAGTAAATGTGTTTATTGTTTGAGTGACTTTTCTTTGAGCTGATGAGTATAGTTGTGTTTTGTTGTTTGTCCCTTGTCCTAAGCCATCATTGTTTCCTCTTGGCCCTCTTTGACGGCGTTTGTGTTATGCCACGGGCTAGTAGGAGATTGTGAATGTGAAGAGTAGTCCCCTGTGTTCCCCTGTTGTTCCCTAATTAACCAGCTTTGACGGCGTATGTAATGCCACAGGTTAATAGGAGATTGTGTTCCCCTGAGTCCCCTTTTGTGTTTCCTGTCTTGTATCTGAATGATGACAAGTGTTATACTCGTGATCGGAGGTGCTGTTTAGTTTTGCCTAGGAGCAGTCTCATTTAGTTTTCAGAACAAGAGCAAGGTGTTTTATGTTGTGTTATTTTGTGTAGCTCACTCAAAAGTCAAGTTTTCAATATCATTAGTATTTTTGTATTACCCTTTATGTGAAGTTTATCGAGTATGTTGTTTTGTATACATTGTGTATTTGCTTTCACCCAAACATTGTTTTAGTATTTTTGTCCCACCCTGTATGTGAAGTTGGTCTGGGTTTGCTTCGAATTGTATTTTCAGTTATATTGTGATTTGCTTTTTATCCAGTGTTCGGTTAAATCAATTCTATTCCTTCCTGCCCCAAGTTAACTGCTACGATTTCCATTTTCTGTTGTGTCCAGTTTTCGTAAAATTATGTAGAAATAATTTTCGTCTATTTCCTTGTGAATTAAAAAATACGTATTTGGAATGATGTCATTCCTTATTTGCCGGTATTTAAAATGTGAACGATATCAAGTTTGTTTATTCTTGTTCGTCTTAAGTATCATCCCATGTCTGAGAAAAGAATTTTGTTTACGTTAACGAAGTAATTTATTTCGTATGTAGACGCTGTTCTTTCTTAAAGTGTTTATAAGTTATCTATTTCGCCTTCTTATTGAGTGTTTGAGCAATAATTTATTGCGTTTCAGAAATCAGCTGTTGTACGAAAAATATAGGTCAAATTTTTTCGTATCTTCAAAGTTTATTAGTCCAGGCAATGTGTGAAATGTATTTAAGCCCCGAAAAGGAAAATGCTTCTGATTTTACAGTCCATGATCAGTCCATGTGTTTTCGTGTTGTCTTTTGTTTTATAAGTAGGAGGAAGTAATAATACGATTTCGTTTGTCCATGGCTAAGGCCCATTTGTTAGTGACAAAGCGAAGTATTGTTATTTTCCTTTCTGTTTGTTATTTCCGTGTTTCCCCGTGTTTTCTTTGTTCCTATTCTGTGTTATAAGTAGGAGGAAATGATGATACGATTCCGTTTGTCCTTGGCTAAGGCCGATTTGTTAGTGACAAAGCGGAGTATTGTTATTTTTCTTTTGTCTGTTAGTCTTGTGTTTCTCCTTAGTTCTTTT